GTGTAGCTTTGCGCGAAATTAAAAAACAAACAAACAAACTACAACCCTGTGTACAGCTGTGACATATTTAAAGATAGGTAACAATTTATGTACAGGTAATCGCCGTTACTTACAATTATATCTCACTTCTTCCTTTTCTATTGTCTATTTTACCTTTTCTCTCACAAAACCAATATTGTTTATAATGAGTTGCCCCCAGTATACCTTCTCTGTGGGCACCACTTCACTGGGTCTAGCATAGCGTGGTAATTAAGGCACGCGATTCACAATCTGAAGATTTTACGTTTTAAGATATTCCTATTAACGCGTATAGGTCACTGTCTATCACTGAGTGAGGGGTCAGTGGAAACTGGTAAATTATGCATAATGAATAAATTCGTGATAAAATGAAGGGTTTTCACAAGCAGACACTCCAATAAATATTACCAAAAAGGTCATTTTTTTAATAGGTTTATAAAGCACATATAAAATATATAGAAATATAAGCTCTTTTCATTTATGTATCCACATTGTTACACTGTGACACTATTGTGTAGTAATTCCCACAAAAATAAACTTTTCGGAATAACTTACGTTCAAGTGCTCCTAAAACAAGCTGACCAGAAGACAAAAGACGGTTTGTTCGTTTGTTTACCCTGTATAGTGGGCTAACTATGCAGTTCTCACCACGAGTATGGAAACCTGGTTTTTAACGTAGATGCTTTCGAATCGACGTCCTCTCTACCTTGCTACATTAGTTCTCCAAGACTTTCTTTATAAATGTTAGGTCTGGTATGGCCTGGTGGTTATGATGCTCGACTCGCAATCTGAGAGTCGCGGGTTCAAGTCCCGTCATGGAACATGCTCACCTTTTCGGCCGTGAGAACATTATAATGTGATGGTCAATCCCATTATTCGTTGGTAAAAAGTAGCTCACTAGCCTTCCGTCTAGTCTGTCACTTCAAAATTAGGAACAGCTAGCGAGTATAGAATTGCGCGAAATTCAATAAGCAAACAAACCTTGCATTTTATGTTAACATACCACATGCGCCAACTGGTGGGAAATATTTCTGTACAGTTGAACATATTATGTAAAAGACATTGATATTTTCCATTGACGGATCAGTAATGCCTTGAGGTTACACCCTCCGTTGTTTTTCGATGGTAGGAAGCATGCGTATTTTGAGAAGAATAACATTACTGTTAATATACGTAATGCCATGTTTTCTCAGTCTGGAAAAGATTTTTTTTCTTCTTCACAGAGATCTCTGGAAGCTCCGTCAAGACGCCATCCTCGGTCATTGCATTCACTTTTGATTGTTTGTGAAATAAAGACTGTTTTACTTGTCTTACATTGTGTCCAGTCTCTTTCATTTTCACAACTCAGTCACAGTCAGAGAATTCAGAAAAAAATTCGTGATACATTTTCTGGTCGAACCTCCGGTTATTAGTGAAATCAGCATACCTAAGAATACCACATCTTACTCTAACCTATTATATATTTTGTTGAGTTTAGTGTTAACCAAGATCTCGGCACTTGCTACCTGTGTAAATAAAACAGAAGGCATTAATTAAGCTTAACTGAATTCGTTTGTGTTTGCCTTTTTATGAATAAATAAGTTAAACTTTTACTAAATCTTTACGATATAGTTAAAATGATATGTCTTTATGAGAAGAAAGGTTTGCTATATAAATCTCTGGCAATTTCTGAGAAAAAAATTCTTAGATAGTTATATAGTAGATTTAAGTGTGTTGGTGGATATATTTATGTATTTCAGAAAATAAAAAACGTCATAAAATCAAACTTAATTACCAAACATTTCAACAATAATTTATCTAACCAAAATCACAGCGAAATATGTGTGTAGTTGTAGCCTCGTCACAATATATATAATATGTAAATATTGTGACGAGGCTACAACTACACATTATATATAATATGTAAATATGTGTGTAGTTGTAGCCTCGTCACAATATATATAATATGTAAATATGTGTGTAGTTGTAGCCTCGTCACAATATATATAATATGTAAATGTGTGTGTAGTTATAACCTCGTCACAATATATATAATATGAAAGTATGTGTGTAGTTGTAGCCTCGTCACAATATATATAATATGTAAATATGTGTGTAGTTGTAGCCTCGTCACAATATATATAATATGTAAATATGTGTGTAGTTGTAGCCTCGTCACAATATATAT